TATGTGCTCTTATGACCGGCTCCTTACTCAACAAAGGAGAGTTCCAGTAACTTAGAGACCCAACTCCCCGCTCCCTGGGGCTCCATACAGAGCACTAACCGCTGCCCCCAATCAACTCAGAGGCAGAAAGGTCCCAAAGGGACTGGGCAGAGGCAGCTGGCTGCCAGTCCGGCCTGGGGTTCTGTGCTTCTGGCTCAGGAATACCAGGCTGGGAGGGCCCACAGGCAGCAGCCGCCCCTGCAGGTGTGGCCAGAGGACTCAGCTCCAAGATGAGATTCACAACGATCAGCCTGGCGAGACTCCTAGGAAGTTGCCCTAGAAGGAAGAGGCCGGCCGCTCCTCCACACCCACTCCTGTTCTCTGGCTGGGGCGCAAGCCAGGGAAAGGAGCCCCACAATAGGACACTGGGAAGGGCCTGGACAGAGGCCCGCCCTCCCATCCCTGGACTGGCTGTCCCGGAACTTCTTCACCAGAGAAGGGGAAAAAAAAAAACAGTCCCTCCCATGTGGGGTTTTCTGCCATGTGCCACCAAATGTCGCAGGAGCAGCAGACGCCCAGGAGCACCAGCATCGTCTGAAAGCAGAAAGATAGTCTAAAACGCCCCAAATTGCACTACAGGAAACATCGTAAGCTACAGGCAAATGTTCACTGCACTGCTGGGGGTTTTCTTGTCTCCCTTTCGTCTAAAACCTCCGATGACAGCATTTTAAAAAAATCACGACCACAGGGTATCCTGAGAGCAGAGAGAAGATGGGGCGCGGCAGGTGTCCGGGCGGCACTTGGGTGGGCAGAGACCCAGCCAAACACAGTGGAAAACGCCTGCGTTCTCCCCAGACAGCCTACAGACATAACCTGTCACCTGCCAGGCACGCTGCGACCTCAAGTCTTACTCCTAACCCACCAGCTTCCAGGGAGTGCTGCCTGCGTGGCTGAGAGCACCAGCCAGGCCACCACGGAGGACATCTGTCCCTAGAAGGATGGGGCTGGCTGCAGGTAACTGGACTGCTGGGGAGCAGACCCTCTGACTCCTGTGCACTCAGGGAAAGCCACGGAAAGTGACTAGCTACAAATTGCTTTATCTTCACTCTCGCCCTCTCGAGTCCCAGAAGCTCACTAAGAGAGCTGAGGAACGTGAACCTGCGGCATTCAGCCTTTTGAAAAGGGACCGGTTCATTCTTTCCTCAAATGATGTAACTGATGTTTGTTTCAGGAATGTGAAGGAGAATTTGGGGCACTACTTTACCCCGGAGCTTTAGGGAAGAGGCATTCCAAGCCTAAGAACTTGTAAGCCCTGTTCCTAAGCCTCAAGAAGCCCACATCCCAGGGGTGAGGGACAGGAGGAGCAGGTAGCCAGGCGAAGCCCCCACAGACCGTGCCTGGCAGAGCTGTGCGATCAACTCGGAGTAATTCGGAAGCCCCAGGCACCACCAAACTGAGTCTGATGCACGGGGACCTCATGCCAGGCACCGGGCCGGCAGTCCCAGGGCTTCTTTCAGAGCCATCGTGCTATTCCCTAAGCCACAGGGTCACTTTCACTCTGAAAACATCACACTCAGTGTCTTCTAAGGAGGCAGCATCCACACACAGAACCATGATGAACACCGTCTGCCACATCTAAAGCAGCCTGAACCCCAACCTTTCCGAGCAACCTCCAGGAAGGTTACGGGGACTCAGTTCCTTGCAACGTGACAGGAAACAAAAATCATTCTGTGTCATAAGCACAATCGCCTGATTCCCAGAAATCAAGAAACCCCGTGCAGTCCACATAAACGTGCTCCTCTGAACTGAGCCTTGAGTCCCATCTTCCAAAGCCAGAGAAGGCAGCCAGTCTCAGGAAGGCACAAGGCCCTGCCACTTGGAAATATGCGCTGAACGGCTGTGAGAAGTGAGTTACAATCCACGTGGCCTGTCCCGTGTGTGAGGCACACCTCCTGAGCGGTGGCCCCAGCTCTGCACAAATGCCACGGGAAGGCACGTGAGGACTCCAACAGGAGGCACCAGCAGAGGACACACCGGATCTGGAGCCCCACCAAGCCCTAAACGCAGCGGGTGGGCCACACTCTGGAGAGCATGCTGTGAGAAGCCGCAACCGGCTCCACCCATTCGGGGAGATCAGCACCCCGTGATTTCCCTCACTGCTCACCCGGTATGTCTGGGGCACTGGGGGCGTCCAACGGTGAAGGTGAAGAGGAAAATTAACTATAGAACAAAGAGGTGTGCAAAAGACCAGCCCCCACCCCGCCTGGTAGCGGTAAAGCTAGCAGGGAAGCTAGACCCAGATGGCCCGAGCCCAGAGAAGGGGGCAGAGTTATGGAAGGCCCAGAGCAGCTTCCTGCTGCCCTCGTGGCCCCGCCCGTCGTCCGCAGCGCCCCCTCTCCCATCTCTCTGCCAACGTCCCCAGTGGTTCATTCTATCTCATCTTTACAAGTCTCCTTGAAAAAAGCTCTCCCCTGACCACTAACTGCCACATTAGAATTGCCCATTTTCTCCCTTTGTAGACTCCCTAATGTAGACTCTATATTCCTCAAGTATATTGCTTGTAGCAGTTTACTGCTATCACTTGTTTGCACACCTGCTTTCAGAATGAATGGGACTCGCCTTCGGCACAGGACCTGGCACGCAGAAAGGGGGAAAGCACGCCGGCCGCAGCCCAGCGAGGAGGACGACAACGTGCGAGCCCATGGGCCCTGTCGCTGCAGGAGTTACGCCCCGAAGACAGCAGGCACACAAATGCCGTACCATTCTGAGGAACGAGACCCTAAATTCAAAGGTATAATAGAAAGCAGACAAACTGTGGAAATAATATCCCTATCTGGTATTACAAGCAGATTAATTAGTTCGTAATTTGCAAGACACGTTTAAAAATCCAAAATTTTCTTTTATTAGAAAAAGGTCATAGAAGTAGATAATATTTACATTCATTGCGACTATGAGAAAAACTTCTTGGTTTAGCGTCTCGCTAGGTCTTATTTATTCGAAAGCTAAGGTCCAACATGGTACGGGTCATCTTCCTTTTTCCTGAGCTGTGGGGCTGTATTGAATTCTGTGTCTGAATGGCAGTCGACATCCATGAACACACAGAAGGGCACAGCTGTGTCCTCTCTGGAGCGGGAGAAGTCCCCGCCCTGCACACCCACCCTACCCACCGCCAAGGAGAAAGGGCCCTCACAAGGCCGTCATCAGACTTGGGCTTTCTTCTTCCCCTTTTTGTTTCTGCCTCTGCCTGGAACGGCAAGTAAAACCAAGAGGGCAGAGGGAACAGGAAAAAAAATCTAACACCTGGCTGACAGCAATTCTCAAAGCTACTGGATTTCTCCACTGAGAGACCATCAAAGGCTTGTCACCCGGGGAGGAGACAAAAAGCAAAAACAAGCTGATGAAGCATCACACTAGAAAGGTTCTGACACAAAGTGGAAGATCCACAGAGAGGAGAGGCCAGGGGTGCACTGCAGACGGGGAAGAGAGGGCTGATCGTGCTATATGACAACGCTCACACCCCTCACGGCTGGCAGTAACCCCATGCCTCGGCTGTGAGGACTAGGAAGGGTTATTTTAAGAAAAGGCTCTAATTTTTTAAAATAAAGCATACAGAAAAGCACAAAGTATGAGAGTAACAAACACACATGTACCTACTACCCGATGAACCAAACCCACGGTCACTGTGGCCCCTGCTTTAGGACAGTCCTAAAGGACACACAGCTCCCTGGAACCATGCACTTCCCAGGTACCGAGTCTTCTGAAAGACCGGCTGGTGGGGGGGGCCCACAAGATGGAAACAGAAAGATCGATACCCACCTTCCGGCAGCTTTACTTGAACCCCAGGCCAAGGTTAAGTCTAGATTAAAAGATCTCGGGGACAGGCTCATGGTTGGTCTTATCACAGCTGTACCCCAGCGCACTGGAGTGTCCAGCACACAGAAGGTGCTCCATAAATGTTGGATGAATGAATGAATGGAGGAAAAGCAGACTGGCTTCTGAGGCCCAAGTTCCTTATAGCGATAACTAAGAAGACACGGCCCACAGCAAACCATAGCCTCTCCGGCTTACTTCCCTGTCTGTACCCACACGAGACCTTGACCTACTCAGCCGGGAGGTCCCTTCCAGCTCGAGGACACTGCATGCAATGGAACAAGCAGACAGAAGTCTGGCAAAACTGCCCAAGCATACCACCCTCCCAGGCCGAACGCTTCTTCAACACGAATTGTAAATAATTGGCTCTGGATGTTTACACTGGCTTCTTTGGTAAATTCTCGATTGGTGGTAGCGATTTCCACCTTCTCTCCCAGAACATGCCAGTTTACAGGGAGAAAGACTTTGACCCCAAGTTCACACCGAGATATCGTATTCCCTGGTTGTTTCTGATACTCCTGCCTTTTAGAAGATTAAGGTTTCCTTTCCGTGACAACCACCCTCTTGTTCTTTTGACTCTTCCACCTTAATTTTTAAAGTAAACTTGAAAAAGACTGCGAAGAGGAGAAAGCGTTCTAAGAATGTCACCTGTAAGATCCGCCAGTAAAATGAGTGGGCATAAGCTTGAGAGAAACAGGGTATCTGCATTGTCTCCCAATATTTAATGGTAACGAGAGTGACAGGAACTTTCCAGCAGACACCCTGGCAAGCACGGCCTTCCCTGAGCACTGCAGGCTCACGTCACCGGGAGCTGAACCCCTGAAAGGACGCTCTGAGGGCACACATCATCCCTTCTGCGGTTTTCTTGCCCAAAAATGCATCATCTCATCCTAACGATGAGGAAATACTAGACAAACCCAAACAGGGACACTCCACAAAGTAAGTGACCAGTGCTCTCTAGGTGTCGAGGTCACAGAAACCAAGAAAAGATGGAGGATGGTCATGGGCTGGAGACTAAGGAATGTGGTGACTAAGGCCAGGAAAATGTATGCTGGGACCTCGACGGTCTTCAAGGAACTTCTGCTGAAGGTCCAAGCAGCCGCGTGCAACGCGACCATGAGACCATGCCGCCCGGAGGCCTGCGCACTCACCAGCTGGAACTCGCTCCTCCGGCTGAAAGCCTCCCTGATGCCGGAGTCCCTCCAGAGAGCACTGAGCGCCGGGACGTACAGCTGGAAGGTGGCGGGCTCCACCGGCAGCCCCGCCTTGTTCTCGAAGGCCAGGAGGAACATGCCGTGCTTCTCATTCTCCGAATACTGCCATGGAATGCCAAGCTTGTCTCGCGCATCGACAAGAACCCGTGAGCCCTGCGAGAGGAAAGACACAGAAAGGGTTTAACTGTGACGAGAGCACCACAGAGAGCCTCCGCGTGGGCATCGACTGTCCTCAAGTAGGAAACTCCCAGGCCCCCACCAGGACCTGTCCCTTGGTTTACTCCTCGATACTAGGGGGACACAGTGCCTCTTTCAGCTTCAAGAGTGGCCAGCAGTCGGGAGACAGGACAAAACCGAAATGGACCACGAGCCGAGCGGCCTGCCCCTGGCACTAATATAGGAGCTAGGGTGGGGGGGACAGATCCTCGATTTAATGCCACCACTGCTAGTGATGAGGAGAAACTGTTTTCATTATTAAGACTTATTTGTTTTGAGAGAGAACATGAATGAGAGAGCAGGAGTTGAGGGGAGCTGCAGAGCAAGAGAGAGAAGACGACTCCCTGCTGAGCAGACTCAACCCCAGGACCTTGGGATCATGACCCAAGCAGAAGGCAGACGCTCCACCAACTGAGCCACCCAGGCACCCACTGTTTTCATCATTTCCTTAGTTCCTCACTGTTAAAAGATAAGTATTTCCAGCCCTTTTCTGACCTTGCAGTTGGGGCCGAGGGGATGGAGAACCGCCTTAAGTACAGGAGCAGAGGCGTCTGGGCTTCAGGGGACAGGCTCCCTGGGAATAAGGTCCAGTTCATCATTCTTAGGCTAGGGCTTCTGAATGAGCAGTACTGTAGTAATAAGCCAGTTTCTGAGTTCGAGGGGACCCAGTGGATACTGTGTTGGGCCAAGAGCAGCAGGGAGCCTGTCTGGAAAAGCCTTCACGGGCTCAGAGTGGTCTGGCGGGACCCCGAACAACTGGGAACAGTAACTCACCCCCTGGCACAGAGAACCCCAGGATGCTCACTGCCCACTTGGCACTTGCTTTAAAAAAAAAAAAAATAATAACAGCTTTATTGGATATAAGTCATACAACATACAATTCCCCCATTTAAAGTGTACAACTCAGTGGTTTTTAGTTGGCGGCTACCCTAAAAAGTTTCACTTCCAACACTTGGGTCAGAGCGGACTCCTCAGTTCTGCCTTCTTACTATCTCTCCTGCTGCATCAGTTTGGTGCCTAAGACCTCTGTTTCTGCCTGGAACCACCAAGTTGAATGTAACAGGGACCAAAAAGAATAGGTAGGATCTCTCCTCCAGGCCTGGCAGATCGGGACTGCTGGTGAGAGGCGTTTCTGTGAGTTTCTTCCTTAGGGCCCACCCGCATCTGCCGCTGGTAACCAGGTCCATCTGTACTGATCCACAAACATGCATTCAATGCTTACTCTGGGAAAAGCACAAGCTAGCACTGCGGGCAAGCAAAATGCTTATGAAGCAGAGTCTGATCTCCAGAAACTCAGAATCTAGCTAGACAGAAAGACCTAGGAATTCAACAATATTAACACTCATTCATGATAAAAATGCCCAGAAAACTAGAAATAGAGGAGAACTTCCCAAAACTTCATGAACACTGACAAAAACCTACATCTAAATCCTTTCCTCCGAAACTGGGAGCAAGACAAGGCTGGCCATTCTAAGCAGCACCAATTGACATGGTAATGGTAGTTCTTGTCAGTACGGCAAGGTAAAGACAAGAAATATAAGGTGTAAAGACCAGAGAGAGAGCGAAAATAAAACCAAGCCTCCTTTCAGATGAAATGAAATGGTAGTCTTTGTAGAAAATTCCAAGGAACCTACCAAAAAAGCCTCCTAGAATTCAAGTGAACTCATTCAGCAAGGTCCCTGGATATAAAAATCAATCCCCAGAAGTCAACTGTTTACTAGAAGTGAGCATGTGGAAACGGAAATCTAAAAGGCAGTATTATTAGCAATTACTAGAAAAATATAAATCTTATAAAACATGAATAGGACTTGTATGCTGAAAACAAAATGATGTTGATGAAAGAAATCCAACTAAACCTACTAAATGGAGGAACATACCATGTTCATGGATTGGAAGCTTTAGAACAGTAATGAATCAATGCTCTCTAAACTGGTACACAAGTCTAACATGAGGTCTATAAAATCACAGCAAAACCTTTTACAGGTATGGATGTGGATATGGTGTGTGTTGTGTGTGTGCATGTTTTAGTTCTGAAATTTACGGAAAGGTGCTAGATTAGCCAAAACAATTTAGAAAAACTAAGTGAAAGGAATCATTCAACACTTCCTATACAGCTACAATAATCAACACTGTGTGGATTCAGTGACACAGGTCAACAGAACACCGGTGAGAACCCAAAGATGCTCCCACACAAGTATGGCCTGCTGATTTTTGTAAGAATCCAAAAGCAATTACACCGAGGAAGAACAATCGTTTGAACAAATGATGCTGTAGCCACTGGACAACCACAGGCAACGGAAAAAGGAGCCTTACCCCAAAAGTTAGATCTTATATAGAATTAACTCAAAACATAAAACTAGAGTGGAGGAGAAAATGTTCGGTATCTACAGCATTGTCCTAAATGCATGATTCATAAAAGAAAGATACCCATAAAGTGGATTTCATCAAAATCAAAACTCTGTTCTGCAAAAGACTCTCGTAAGAGGCTGAAGAAGAAGAACAACAACAACAAGAAGAAAAAAAGAGGCTGAACAGAGGCTCTCTGGGCTGGGAGGTGATATTTACCCACCACTTCTCTAACAAAGGACTCCTATCTAGAATATATAAAGAGCACTCAAAACTCAACAGCTAGAAAAAACAAAAACAAAAACACAAACAAAAACTCAACAGCTAGAAAAACAATCCAGTCAGAAAATGGGCAGAAGGTATGAAGAGATGTTTCACCAGAGAGCACACACACACACACACAGCAAGTGAGCAAGTGAGGGCGAAGCAGGTGGGACCTCGGCAAGGTACTGCCATCCACCATTAAAACAGCTAAAACAAACCCAGCAAGGACAGCAAATGGGGTGAGGACACAGAGGTACTTGCTGTCTCATGTGCTGGTTGGGGGTGGGAGGGCAAGATGGCACAGCCACTCTGGAAGCCAGTTTTCCAGTTTCTTCAACAATTAAACACATACCTCTCATTCAATCCAGCAATCTCACTCCTAGGCGTTGAACCCAGAGAAGCGGGAATTTAGGTCCTCACAAAAACATGTGCAAGAATGTCCAGAGCAGCTTTATTTGTAACAACCCCGAAGTCCCTCAACGGAGAAACGGTTGCACACCGTGCTGGCCTCCACACTACGGAACAGGACTCGGCAGTAGAAGGGAACAAACACTTGCATCATGCGACAACCCAGGTGGATCTCAACATGATGCAGAGTAGAAAAAGGCAGTCCTGAGAGGTCACATACTGTGTGGCTGTTTCTATAATATTCCTGAAGTGACAAAGTTATAAAGACAGGACACAAATTAGCAGCTGCCAGGGACTGGGGATCACCAGGGAAGCAGGAGGGCAGGTGAGGATCTTGGAGGTGATGGAGCTGAGCTGTGTTGGTTACACAGACCCTCACGTGGGAGAGCACGTCACAGAATCTTACACACACACACACACACACACACACACAAACACACACACACACACAGCACCAGCGTCCATTTCCTGGTGGTGAGTTTGCACTGCAGTTCCAGAAAATGTAACCACTGGGGGAAATTGTGTGATACCTCTCCCTGTTATCTTTGTGAGTTCCTGAGAACTAATTATTTCAAAATAAAAGCTTTTTATGAAGTTAACCAGCAGCCGTGACAATAAATCCTCCAATTTTGTGGTGTGGAAAGGGAAGGTTTACTAAGGGGCCAGCAGGAAAAGGGAGACAGATGGGTCTTGAAGGGAGCTTTCAAAGTGCAGGTTAGTGTCAGCAAGTGGCAAGAGTGGATTAGAACCCACCCAGTGGGGGGAATAGGACTTGACTAAATCCTCAGCTCTCCTGCCTCTGGGTCCTTCCCGTCTCCCCACTTCCTCTGACAACTTCACACCAAACTCCCATCTGCCCAAAAGGACAATATCGGAAAGCTTCAGGAACCTAAAAAGACAAAGGCGTTTCATATTCTCCACGTGCTGCATGACAAAAAGATATCTGTGTACAGAGAAGGTAGATGAGATCTCTCCAGTGAGATTTCTAGTACAGGGTCTAGTACAGGGTTACATCCAGGGTCACTGCAGCTTTGTGCAAATCAGACAAAGCTCCCCACTGTCCTGGCACATGAGGCACCTTGTTCAGCCAAGGAGCTGGGTCAGAATCTTGACAGCCCCCCACCCCCGGCCCCAGCCCCCAGCCAGGTAACCAGCCCACCTACCATTCCTGACCGCCCAGCCCGCACAAGTCACACCCATCAAATTCAGTCTGATATACCAGGTATCTTTTCAGTGCTCTTTTCACACATGAAAAAAGTTCAGCCTCACAAGGAGCTCACAAGAGAAATTGAACCTCTGCTCCCTAGGGAGTTTTGTTTTTATATGTCAGAGCTGAAGGCAGGGAATCAAAACGGAGTTACAAGACTGAGTGATCATTTCCAAGCCTGTTTTCAACACTGCACAGACCAGGCCTTCCCTAATTATTGGGGTGAATACAGGTTTGGCTTAGAAAACCCTGGTCTATCCAAAAGCAGCCTGTGTTCCCACTGTACACACTGCCACCCAGGCAAGCTTGGAACTGGTCCAAATTAACTGCTCCCAAACACGAAGAAAAGGTTCCTTATTTCTCTTTTTAAAAATCCAGGGAAATTGACAAAACTGATGAACTTTGGATTATACCAGTTAACTGTGGACTGTTTTCTATATTTTAGTCTCTTCACTTGGAGGGGAAAAAAGCATCAGAAAAAAAGAGGTCCCTCTTGCCCTTTTAAATTTATCCTAGTAAAAAAAAAATACTCTGCCAACTTTGTTCTGAACATCCAAAATCAAGATAAAGAAGAGGTTTCTACTTTGGGACATCTGCCTAAAATTGGAGTCTTTTTCTTGCTTTTTAGAGAGCATAAAATAGTTGGAAATGCTCTATTTACTATACTTCGGCAGAACTGATAGCTACCCGGGTTCACCATCATTATAGAGCT